ATATACCCAGCTCCTGCAACTGTTCTTCATGTTTTATCATCCAGTCCCCTAATCATTTTTGTTGCTCTTCTCCACATCTTTCTAGAGTCTCAACATCTTTTTTATATTGTGGCGACCCAAACTGGATGCAGTATTCCAAGTTGGTCTTACCAGGGCATTATAAAGTAATATTAACACTTCATAATAACATAATAATAATAAGTTTCCATAACTCACTCTACTTTCCTGACTTTTTACATCACATGCTATGACCTCAATACAAAGAAGCAACATGAAGTTTCACTTCATGTCAGCTACTATACAGGTAGTCCTTGACTGATGACCACATTGGTATGAAACATCTATTGCTAAGTGATGAAGTCATTAAGTGAGTTATCATGTCTCCAAATCTAATTTTATGACCTTTTTTCCAGTGGTCATTAAGCAAGTCCAGTTTTCCCCATTGCTTGTTGGAAGCCACCTAGAAAGCTCACAATTGGCCATCACATGACCTTAGGATGCTATAAATGTCAGTTGCTAAGCGCCCAAACCATAGTTGTGACTGTGGGGATGCTGCAACAGTTGTAAGTGCAAGAGCCACAGTTGTAAGTCACTTATTTCAGTGGTGTCATAGTTCGAACTGTTGCTTCATGAATGGTTGTAAGTCAAATAATACCTATATAGGTCTGGCAACTGAACAAAAACTTACAGTGTTTCTGATGAAGAAGTAAACATTTGTTCCATTAAGCATTTGTTCCATGCTTTTATCATTAGTGAATATGTAACCATCTTGTCTTCTGTTGGTTGTTTTGAAGGTTCTTCTCCTGTGATTCTCCAAGTTATTTAAGCTTTTGCTTCCTTATTTGTATGGTATCTAGTATTTCATGATTTCTCTGTGCATTCTAAGGTGGTATTAATTTTTTTTCTCCAGCCACATAATTCAAAAAAAAATTTTTTTCCATTCGTCTTTCCTCATTGTCCAACTTTCAAGGAAGACCTTGATAATGCACGGCTTTTGTCAGGCGTGCCTCCTTCAGTAACCAAGAAAGAAATCCTCCAACTCCATTGTTTGTGGAATTAAAAGTACTTTTACTGGTTATGAATAGATGGCAGAGAAGTAAAGCAAGGTATGAGTCAGAAAAGCGCGAAATCATACATATCAAACATTTGCCCAGCCCCCTCCCTCCAACCATTCCCACCTCATTGCCCAATCTGCAACTCCCTTAGGTGTCATGTGGGCTGCATCTCCAAGAACCATCATCAGTTTGGTATGCAAGACAGTTGGCCTTGACCAGGTCCAAACATCGGCCATCAGCATGTGCAGAAGATGGTGAGAACAAAACTCCCTTTTTGACTATCACTCCTGTACCATATATTCCCATCCCAAATATCATGTCCCCCTCCCCGTTTCCATGATAGTCAAAAGCAAGCAAGCAAAGCAGAGGCTGACGTCCAGCCCTCCTTTGGAAAGAGATATTATCCTTGCAGAGAGAGAGAGAGAAAAAACAATACAAAACAACAATATAAATATTTACATCTATCCTAACATCAAGGCTTATTGGTATAATTGGTGTAGAACTTCTGCAAAAGCTTGGGAGCCCTAACATGAGATTTGTCGACCCATTCAGCCTAGGAAGGGGGAAAATGTTTCCAGGACACCAAATACTGAATGCGACCTCTATGTTTTCTCGACTCTAAGATTTCTTTAACTTCAAAATGTTGCTTTCCCTCAAAAGAAGAGGGACCGGAGGTTCACATGAAATACAGGATAAATTCTAAGGTTGTTCGGCAACTCCAATTTTACTGATACATAATTTATGATTTTCACAATGGGGAACGGACCTATGTACTTTGGGCCCAGCTTCTTCAATTTTTGGGTGGTTTGTAGGAACTTGGTGGACAAAAACACCCTATCCCCAATTTTGTACTCTTTTGGCTTAGTCCTTTTCTTATCCACCTGTTTTTTGTGAACCGCATCTAATGCTTTGCGGGTCATGGGCAATGTTCCCTCTAATTTTTTTTCAGTGTGNTCCCCATTGACCTTGCTTGTCAGAAGGTTGCAAAAAGTGTTCCTGTGACTCCAAGGACACTGCAACTGTCATAAATGTGAGTCAGTTGTCAAGCACCCAAATGTAAATCATATAACCACGGGGATGCTGCAATAGTCATAAGTGTGAAAAACTGTCATAAATCATGTCATTGTAAATAAGAACGGTCATTAAGTGAACTGTTGTAAGTCGAGAAGTACCTGTACATTCTGCATAACAGTTTATCTTGTTCAAAGCCTTCAAGAGAAAGTAAATCAATTGAGTCAGAATAGAGTTTATATATCTTGTTCCTAAACTGCATTATGCAGCAATAAGATTTTTCTCCGATCTTGGTGTTTCCATTAATAAAACATCTACTTTGTATAGAAATTTAATAGTGGCATAAGCTAAAACATTCCACATGCTTCAAACCTATAAGGTAAAGGTTCCCCTCACACATATGTGCTAGTAATTTCTGACTCTAGGGGATCATCTCCATTTCAAAGCTGAAGAGCCAGCTTTCTCTTCTTTTTTTTTCCCCAGACATCTCTGGGTTAATGTGGCCAGCATGACTAAATGCCGAAGCTGCATGGAACACTGTTACCTTCCCACCAAAGGTGGTTCCTATTTTTCTACTTGCATTTTTACATGCTTTCAAACTGCTAGGTTGGCAGAAACTGCAACAAGTAACGGGAGCTCACTCTGTTATGCGGCGCTAGGGATTTGAACCACTTTCTGATCGGCAAGCTCAGCATCTTGGCCACTGAGCCACTGTGTCCCCTTCATACCAATACTATATTGTAATAAACAATATATTTTGAATAAAAGTGTGGATGGAAGCAAAGGTTCTGCAAAAATGGGTAGACTTTTGGGGAAAAAATTGGAAGTATTATCAAATATTACCTTTGAAAGAAAGACATGACTGATCCTGCTTTCTGGAACCAACTCTTCTAAAATATAAAGAACCAATATTTTAATAATCACAAAACATAGAAAGAATTTTAGCAGAATATCCTAAAATTTCTATGGCTCAAGAGATAATAACAGTGTATAGGCACCATATTGTGAGAGAAGGATGTGAGCTCTAACATGGTAGAACGAATTAAGGGACAAATTAAAGATTTATCAGAGGCCATCCTATTTTTTTTCCTGCTTAATTGGGGATTTCATTTGCATTTTAGCACTGCACTTTTCTTAATGTTTATTATGGCCCATTTGCAATCCTACAAATGCAGAATGGTTTATAACCCCAAAAATTGTTTCCCACGGTAAGAGAAGTCCATCTTTCATGTAGAGCATTTGGCTGGCTTCAGGCACTCTAAATGTAGTGTGCTTTCTGCCTGCAGAACTAAAACCACTTCCGTGTTACAGAGTTAACTGGATGATGGGTTGGAAAACATTTTTAAAAATCAGTAAATAGGCATTTGCATCACCCACCACAAGCCATAAGTGGTCCTTGAATTGGCCTATATTTGTGCAGCTATTAATGGTAAAGTTGCCTGAGGCAGAATTACCTCTTATAGGGGAATGGCACTTCTGTTTAGGCACATAAAGCTTGTTAATGGTCATTTAATTACTTATGCCCAGCAAGTAAGACCAGTTCTTACGATTTTGGAAAACAGCTGATGATTCATAATTATTTTCCCTTTCAACTACTCAAGTCACAAATGACTGATACAGTTGGGCATACAGCTGGTAGTGGCTAGTATCTCTAATATTTGTGATTTGTGTTTATCACACATGCATATTTGCAAATGTAATGAGCCTTAAGGTCTGAAATATGAGCATCTTTTATGAAGATCATGAGTTCTAGTCACCCAGTTGGGTGACTTTGGGCAGTCACTTTCTCTTGGCTCAACCCACCTAACTGGGTGGTTATTATGTGGAAAATAGGGAGGAGGCAAGGAGAAAAATGTGCTGGATATGTTCGCCATCTTGAGTTATTTGTAAAAATAAGAAAGGCAGGGTAGAAATAAATAAAATAAAATATTAAAAAAACAATGAAATAGGATCATTTTTAACCTCCCGACTTTCCGAGTTTACAGGGATTCTTATTTAATTTTCATGAAATTTAACTTGCCATGTTTGTTTAATTACCAGACAAGTATATATTTGATGTAGTAAATAAATAGCTGTTTAAGTGGATGCTGTAGCAGAATTTTAACAATTTAGTTGGCGAATTGCCAAATTTAAACCATGCAGGTTGGCATGTGGATGAAAATAGATCTTAACACATTTGATATTTTTTCTGTTTCTTTGCTTTCCAGTAGTTTAAGCAAAACAAATTCCAAGTAAACTTCGTTTTAAAAAGGCTAGTTTTAAATTAACTTCATATGCTGTGGTGTATAAGAAGTCCACTTGCTGAATCTTTTTATCCAGGGCTGGGCTGCTGGGGGTTCACAGGGGTTCAGGAGAACCTCTAGTTAAGATTCTGTGCAGTTCAGAGAACCTCCAAATCCCACTTCTGGCTGGCCTCACCCACCCCTCCCCTCCCAGGAGTCCCCAGGCAGGCTGTTTTGGATGCAGGTAAGTGCAAGGCACGCACGGAGGCTCAGAGAGGGCGAAAAATGGGCCTACCGGAAGTTCGGGAAGGCTGGAAATGGCCCCGTTTCTGGCCTCCAGAAGGCCTCCCGAGCCTGGGGGGAAATGCCCATCCTGCTGTGGTGCAGGAAGCCAACTAGGCCACACCCAAATGGCCATATCCACCCAGCAAACGGGCAAAGAACCCCTTGCTAAAAATTTTGAAGCCCACCCCTGTTTCTATCCATCCTTTGACCATTTGTTTACAAGAGTCAAGTGATGATAAAAAGTAAGTCTTTCGTTCTGAAATTATGGTAAGACCAAAGCTAGAGATCAGCATTACGGCTAGTAGCTCTGGTTCTAGCATCAAATATACAGAATGTTTTGACTGGTGGCAGGAAAATGTTTTACTTGTGTTTTTTTTAAAGCTAGAAACAGAGGCTTAAAGCAAGTTCTCTTCTTCTTGTCTCATAGTCCTTGATCCTCTTGGCTCTGACCGGAGTTCTATTCTTGGGTCTCAACCTGGTTTTCCTTGGCATCTATCTCATCTGCCTATCTTGCTGCAAGAAGAGGGAAGAGTCGGAGACTAAGAAGCCCAATTCTTGTTGCATCACCTGGACTGCTGTGGTAGCTGCTCTCATGTGTTGGTGAGTTTTTTTTCAGTCTGATCTGTAATAAGGGTGTGGGAAAGCTTTGAAAGCTTCCTTCAGTGACAGCTTTTAAAAGTATCCTCTATGAAAAGTTGTAACTCAAGAGCCTTGGTATCCTGAGGGCTGATTCTCCTCAAGAAGTACAGTGTTCAGTTAAAAAGTGAGTCCATAGGAAAACCCACTGTTTTTTATTCTAAACTAGCCGATAACCTGGCGTTGTGCGAGTATTTATTTATATAGCAATAGCAATAGCAGTAGACTTATATACCGCTTCATAGGCCCTTTCAGGCCTCTCTAAGCGGTTTACAGAGAGTCAGCATATTGCCCCCAACAATCTGGGTCCTCATTTTACCCACCTCGGAAGGATGGAAGGCTGAGTCAACCCTGAGCCGGTGAGATTTGAACCGCTGACCTGCTGATCTAGCAGTAGCCTGCAGTGCTGCATTTAACCACTGCGCCACCTTGGCTCTTATATTTATAGGGAAAATGTCCGGACCAAACTAATTTCTAATGTTGGATTTTCCCCCTTACCAGAGGGAGCCCCCCTGTGGAGTACCATGAAGTTGTTCCCACGGCAACTCCAGAGCGCTGCACAGTAGAAGCCATTTTATGGCAGTACAGTAGAAGTCATTTTAAGGCACAACAGGCTGTATCTTAAAAGAACACATACATACACCAATGGGTTTTAGGGGTGTCTTATCCCCACAGTATTTTTTTCCAGAGAGTAAGTCATCTGTGTATCAAGTTTGGTTGAAATTGCTCGAGGCGTTCCAGAGTTATGCTGGATCACACACAGCCATTTTTATATCTATAGAAGAAGATGCTATAAATTTCCGCAGAGTTTTCACCTGTCCTTGTGTAATAGTATATGATTGAAACAAAACAGAGAGTATAAAATCTGTGTGCAAGGAAACTTTCCCAAGCTGTCATGGATTTGAAGTTACTGCAAAATAAGATACTGAGTATTATTACCATTGCTTTTCTACTTTTTTTCTGGAATGTTAAGATGGATGGTTATTATGAAAGTGAGAGTTCATAGTATTATTTTTATTTAGTATTTATATAGTATTATATACTAAAATTATATGTTGTATAAACAAAGTACTCTGCTTCTTTAGTTTATAGTTTGAAAGGAAAAGAAATGTGACAATAGAATAACAAAGTTGCAAGGGACCTTGGAGGTCTTCTAGTCCAACCCCCTGCTCAAGCAGGAGACCTTATAACATTTGGACAAATGGTGGTCTAGTCTTTTCTTTAAAACATCCAGATTGGAGTATTCACAACTTCTGACAGCAAAGCATTCTACTAAATAATTGTTCTGTCAGGAAATTTCTCCTTTCTAGATAGGTTCTTTCCTTTTCTCTCTCTCTTTTTTTAAAAAAACTTTTGATCCTGCAATATTTATTTCATTTTCATTTTCATTTTATACAATCACTTATATACTGTGCAATTAAAAAAACAATAAACACAANACTCGACAATAAAGTCCATTGATATCTCCTTCCATATGGCTCCAGGATGGGCAACACTTTGGAGGAGACCTTGGGGCTTCCCCGGTGGTCTTTTTGCTCTCGCACAGACAGGACAACTGGCTATGTAGGATTCAATGTCTTTTTTCAATGAAGGCCACCAAAATTGTCTCTTAATCAAATGCAAAGTCTTTACAAATCTAAAATGGCCTGCCATTCTCGAATCATGGGTCCGTTGCAGAACAACAGGTTTCAGGTCAGCAGGAACATACAGCCAGCAGGAACATACCCAAGCCAGTCCATCCTTCATGGTGCATTCATCAGAATGTTTGTTGAACCAGTCATCGGACTCAAGGCTCTCCTTGAGTTTGTTCATTAGGTCTGTATTCACATCCAAGTCAACTGGGTTTTGGGTCCTAGTAACCATTGGGGCAGCCAGATTTTTAGCTGGGATGACTGGATGAGCCACACTCAGCCTAGAGCTGTTGTACTGGGGAAGTCTGGACAAGGCATCAGCCATAAAGTTCTTCCCCCCCCCGGGACATACTTGAGGGTAAAGTTGAAACGGTTGAAGTGCTGTGCCCAACGCACTTGTTTAGGCAACAGCTTACGCGGGGTTTTCAATGCTTCTAAATTTTTATGATCAGTCCATACTTCAAAAGGGTGTTTTGCCCCCTATAGGAAATGTTGCCAGGTCATCAAAGCCCATCAGACAGCAAAAGCTTCCTTTTCCCACATGGTCCATCTCCTTTCTGTCTCTGTAAGCTTACATGAGGCCTTGGCCAAGTCCAAACATGGGCCATCATCAGCATGCGCAGAAGATAGTGAGAACAAAACTCCCTTTTTGACTATCACTCCTGTACCATATATTCCCATTCCAAATACCCCTTCCCGTTTCCATGATAGCCGAAAGCAAGCAAGCGAAGCAGAGGCTGACAGTTTTGTTGTCAGTACATATCTCCTCACTTTAATCTTTTGAGTAGATCTATCATACTGTTTCTCCCCAGCAGCAAATGCCTTTTTATTTCATGGATGAAGTTATCATCCTCTTAGCGAGGAAGATAAAATCTATTTCTTATTCTACTACTCCGCCTATTTGTATGGGCTTGGCTTTGTAATAATGTACTTCCTTTAATATTCAGAAGGAGACTGATTTTTTTTAGTCTCCTCTTTCTCCTTTAACAAAAGACTCTTTAGGCATCAAAGTTTTATCATTAGCATATCTGATGCTGTTGAAATTTCTTTCTAGAATTATAATTTGAAATTCCATTTCCTTTACTCCAGTGTCACGTTTATTTCATTTATATGCAGAATATAAGGGGGCAATAAAACAATGTCAGTGCGCTCCTCCATTTGGGAATATTTATTTGCTCCATTTGCTTTGATTGCTTCCTAATCAGCCTGTACATTGTTCAATAGGCAGATGTGATCATTTAGTACCATCCTATTTTTAACAGCTTTCAATGATATCTTGTCATCTACACCAGGGGTGTCAAACTTGATTACATTGAGGGCCACATCAGGGTTGTGTTTGACCTTGGGGGGCCAGGGTGGACGTGGGCAGCTCGATGCATTTGTCAGGGGTGCCTGTGGTGGTCCGAGTTGCCAGGGTTCCAAGTAACATTCCAATGAAAGAAGGCTCCGAGGTTTGGAGTTCCTCAAAGATCCATTTTATTAGAGATGTCATATTGGCACATCTGGGAAAACCCGAATCTGAAAGCTTCCAGGTTTTCCCCACCCAAGTGAAAGTCCAGACCCCTGCCCAGCACCCACATGTCCATCACGTGGCCCTATCAGGCACCGTCCCAACTGGAGATGTCTCCCAGTCATACCCCTCCAGGTGCAGGGCAAGATGTCCTTGACTCTCTGAGAAAGGAATGTTGTTATGACTATATATCTCCCCCATAGTCCATATAATCCCCCCTCCCATTTTCCCACAGCATTAAATGTGGCAGGTTGGAAGTCCCAATGCAAAAGATGTCTTCCAGGCCTGACACGAGTGCTCTGCCAGCGAAAACGGGCTCCCTAGCTCCATTTGACTGCACGCAGCCCTCCTGAGCTCCGTTTTTGCTGGCAAAGGCACTGCAGGCTGGTCCTTTGCTTCCAGGGCGGCCCCATGGGCCAGATCTAAGCACCCCACGGGCCAGATCCGGGCCCCGGGTCTTGAGTTTGACACCCTTGATCTATACAGTTAAAAGCAGAAAAAGCAATAAATACTCTTTTTATGAACCCTCTTGCCTCTTCCATTACCCATCAAATGTTAACAATGCAATCTCAAGTGCTTCCTACCCTGAATCTGGTTTCTGCTTCTAGTAGTTCTTGTTCCATGGGCTAGAGATACCCTAGCACCGTGATGGCAAACCTGTGACATGCATGCTACAGGTGGCACACAGACCCATATTTGCCGGCACGGCAACCCTCAGCTCCATTGCTCATGCACGTGCCAGCCATCTAATTTTCGGCTTTCCAGAGGGCCGGCGGAGGCCGTTTTCGCTCTCCCCAGGCTTCAAGAAAACCTCCGGAGCCTGCAGAGGGCAAAATTCCCCCCCACACACACACACACATGCACGGGGGGTTCACGCTCACATGCATGGGTGGGGGGTCGTGTGTGCATGTGCAGGTGGGCGGGCACGTGCACACGATATCACATAATTTTGGCATACCTTTAGAAAAAGGTTAGCCATCACTTCCCTAGCAATATTGTTCTTTGTGCTTGTGCCTGTTTTAAAGTTTTTTATTTTTATGTTTTTGTGAGGATGCTTTTCAGAAAGGCCGCAAGTTTTGATCACCAAGAAGTAAGTGGTCCAAGAAACCATTTTTATCTTGGGCATCTGACCTGAAAGATGAGCTCATCCATTTATGGTGATAATCAATTCACCACAACATTTCAATGCTTTCAAAGAAACTGTCTTCCCAATTCTGTAAATGAAATGATAATAATGGTTCACCTCACTATCTTTCTCTTAGCCAAGTGCTTGATTACCTGTTCTTTTTTCTCCCTGCTACCCATGTAAAGCACAGAGTCATTGGCTTCACTTCCATGCCTGACTCAGAGAAGAAGGCGCATTTGTAGGTGCCGCAAAGCTTCACATATGATTCTTAAGTTTTCCTTTAATATTGCTGAGAAGTCTTATTGTACTCCAGTATTCATCTCCCTTGTAGAAAATTCCTAGAGGCTAAAAGAAATCAAACACTGAAGGGATCTGTTTTACTTTTTCTTCCAAAGGGATGGCATAATTGGTTTCCAAGGGTCATATGATCTTTGCATATAAGGCTCTGAATTAGAGGAGAATGAAATTGGGAGCCTCAGGAAAGAGAGATTATATCTTCGTCTCCTGGACTCGAATATGTTCATCTAAACATTTCCTGTCTGTGTGAGACCGTCTTCACCATCCCCCTGAATAAGACGGTTATAGCCATAGACGCTGCACATGATAGGAAATCTTATCCTCATGATTAATTTAAACCAAGTTATGAAAATGGGAAAGTAATCCTATCAGTCCTTTGATAAAGCTAAGTGGTTAAACC